ATGTCCTGATTCTGTCTATTAATATTTGGTACCTCGGAGTCCAAATGTCATTCCTTATTTCTTATAATTTCAGTGACATCATCTTCTATAAAATTACTTGTTGGACTTCTTGGATTTTCTGAAGGTGTAACTGTAATAGTAACTTGATGTTGGCAAGGAGTTTACCTTGGTTTACTGAGTGGAGCTGTTTTCTGGGAAAGATGTTTCTTCAATTGTCCTTGCTCTCTTTCTTGAATCTTTCTCCAACCGCATATTATGCAATCCCATAAGCTGTGCACCTGATAGGATTCAAGCTTCTGAGAACTTTCGATTGTCTGTCTGATTCTTAAGTGGGGTAGCGTGTTGGAGATACCGTGATTTCTCCTGATATAACTCCTATTAGGCAATTTCTGTTTCAAGTTGATAACTCAGGCCCCACAGGATAGTTTTAACTTGTAAATTAAGTTTCCTAGTAAAATTCTTTAGTGCAGAGAGATATGGCCCAGATTCAGAAAGTAATAAGGAAGCTAGACTCTGATTTAGGATTATCTTAGTTGCTACAATCCTTTAGCAGATATTATTGAAATCACAATAAGGCCCATTATATCATATTAGAAGATGGCTTATAAGACTATTTTTCCTAAAAGATTTCTTACATGGAGTGGTCATATACCACATGTTTCAAATGCTTGACATATACTTTAAGAAGTAAATGTTTTGTCCCTGGCCTCTTTAATAAAAGGCAAAAAGATTGCTTTCTTAATTCTATTACCAGTATTTCTTTCAGAACACATATAGTTGTCCACTGCCAAGCCATAAAAGTGCTGATATAGAGATAAGAGTTCTATGTCTAAACATTATAAAAGGAGGGTAGAGTGTAAGAGAAGACAGAGGAGGAGTATATTGTATTCAATACAAAACTTGACAAATGAGTAGGTAATATGAAAGCCATCCCCATTAATTATAAGCAGTCAAGGTAATATGCTAGCAACTGTAACAGTTTAAGGCCCAAAAATTGTTTCGAGCCACAGAAAAGCAAGCTAGCCATCAATCCAACTTTTTGGAGAATATCTAAACTGGTAGTCTTCCTCCCTGACAGTTAAATTTGTATACCAACCTAGGTACTAGGCTCTTCTACAATAAATAATAAGAGGTAAGAGGATTTGACACACTACCCTAACTGTCTCTCTTTTTTTTTTTTTTTTATAATCATGTATTCATTGTTCAGGTACAAGAACTCGCATGCAGCAGTAGCTATGGTGTAAACAAAACCTTAATCCCAAAACAAACAAAAAACAAAAAAAACCAAACCAGTGTCTCCAACAAGTACGAACAACCCATATCACAAAGCGCATAAACAGCTAGGTATAAAGGGAAACATTCAAACTAAAACATAGAAAAATCCTACAGTCAAGGAAAACAAGCAAGTGTACTTTCACTCTACGGTTTAGCCCGAGGACGAGGAGCTGAGTGGGGAAGTAGGACTCCCGACGGGTCGGGTCCCAGAGGAGTGATCTCTGAGTCCAGGCATGTCCGGGGGGAATCTGACTGAGGTGGCAGAGATGTAGGCGGATAGTCTATGAAGCAGCTCCGGTGATGTCCAGATGGGTTCCCCTTCGTCCAGGCACTTGACCCCCGGGAGGTGGGCATCTCTGGCTCTGTTGTGGGAGGGGCAGTCGAGAATGGCATGGTGGAAAGACTCAGGCTCCTCCTCACAGTAGGGGCACGTGTTTAGGGCATCTGGGTCTCTCCAGGAGCAGTGGCTAGCCAGGTAGCTCTTTCCTGACCTCATCTGTTGGATTCTGCCTGCCACGAATTTCCCCAATCTCATGAAAGGGTGGGGCAACAGCGTGGGCGAGTAGGCATATCGGGGTAGTGGTAGGTGCTACTTCGTCCATGAGTTTAGGAGAAACTGACAGCAAGCTCTCTTGAGGGCTGGAAAAGAGTGATCGCCAGGGGCCGCGGGAGGCAGGGGTGCAGGGGGGAGGGTAGGCGATGCTTGTGGGACACGAGAGAGATGACCGACAAGCTTGCTCACTTGGTGGGCTATTGTATCAAGTGGGAGGTGCCTCCATAACGGAGGAGATAGCTCAGGGGTTTTCCAATTCAGGGGCCTGTAGCCCAGCGTGAACCCCACTGTCAAGGCACGGTGGTCCTCCAGGCAGCAGTAACAAGAGGTTGTAGGGAAGGAATAGTGCAGCCGTGTAGTGGCCAGATTTCTTTCCGGGGGGAGGCATACCATCCTCAGCGCGGCTAGGCACTGATGGTGTTCAATAAGGCATTGTATCGGGGGAAGGGCTGACTCACAGGGGAGGATACCGGTAGGGGTCTCGGAGAAGCAATTGGTGACCCATCGCTGGACCTGTCTCCAAAAGACAGCAAGACAGTCAGTCATGGTTGCTGAGAGTGAGAACAGATTTGCACCGAAGACGTGTATGGGTATGAGGAGAGAGGACGTGAGCCTGTGGAATAGGAAGGAGGTGAGCCCCTTACTGGGACCCGATAGCCTTTTAAGCATTGAGAAGGCACCTTGGGCAAGGGCAAGATGCTTCGAGAAGTGGGTGTTGGTAGCCCACCTGAGAGAACAAGAGGCTAGCTCAAACCAGTGTCCGAGCCAATGGACCACCCTGGAGGGGCGGAAAAGGTGTCCATCAATGGCGATGGGGAGAGTGGATGCGAGGTCCTTTTGTCTGGGCATCCTCCAGTGTATGAGTTCAGTTTTGGGTATGGAGAAGGAGACCCCAAGATGCCTACCCCTTTGAGTGAGCATCTTGACTAGATGTTGGAGGCACTCGACATTCCTCCTGTAGGAGTTGGAGGCAACAGTCACCATGAAGTCGTCCACATAGGACAGGATTAACCCACCCGGTACTGGAAAGTGGAGGGACGAGATATAGATGACAAACAGAAGAGGTGAAATTGGTAAGCCTTGTGGGGTGCCAACCTGAACTGGTTTGAAAATCCTGGGCGATCCCTGGAAGATGAGACAGCATTGCGTTCCTGTCAGGAAGGACCTAACCCAGGAGCAGAGGTATGGAGGTATGCCCTTCAAGGGCAGCATATAGAAGAGGTTGTTCGGGGAGATATTGTCAAAGCCTCCCTTGATATCAAGGAACCAGGTAGACGCAGCCAACTGGGGACGTTGCAGTGTTTGAACTTTGTGAGCCAGAGTCACGCAGGCATCGAAAGTGCTAAGCCCCGGAAGGGAGCCGCATTGATGGGGGTAGAGCAGGCCAAGTGATCTAGCCAGAGGTGAGAGGCTATTTGCGATTATCCTCTCCATAATCTATGAGACCGTTTCAAGGAGGACAATTATCCAGAAGGAAGCATGAGTGTCGTAAGAGGGTTTTCCTGGTTTGTCCAGGACCACACCATTTGCCATCTTAAGCGACGCTGGGTGGATGCCGAACAAGACCCGTGGAAAGAGAAGCTCAACCAGCAGAGAGGGACGGGATATATTAACCTTTTTCCAGACAGAGTATGAAAAAGGGTCGGGACCAGGGGCCGAGGAGGACGAGGACTAGCTGAGAGCCGCGGCTATCTCTTCCTCCAGCAGGAGGGGTGCGTCTTTGAAGGCCCTGACAATAGGCGGGCAGAATGCGTAGGTGGGCAGAACGCTATACTAACTGTCTCAATGACAGTAATACATTCTCGTCCTCCATCATGTGTTACTCTCAGATTCCGCCTTCCATGATAATAAAGCAACTTTGTTCACACTGCCTGTCCTATAAGAAAATCTTTCTCATTCATGTTGAAGATTTGATCGGCTTTAAGGCCATGTGTTCTTACAAGTTTGGTTAGTTTGGTAAAGTAATTCTTTATAATGTGAGAATCATTTGCCTGAGCTCGTTGGCACTCCAGTTGGGTACTGAATTTGACTGCTAGGCTTGGATGTCAATTAAGAAAATGAGTTGTCCAATTTCTTCCCTGTGGCTTGCTCATACTGCCTAATTATTTTGATTCCGAATGAAGAGCCATTTCTCTAACATTATACCACTTTGTGGGAACCCTCTATCATCTATATCAAAGTACCACTTCACAATTGCCTTCTCCTCAGTTTCCAGAAGGTGCTACTGAACCACATGAGCTACCTGGTAGCTCGTCCCAGTACTAGAAAGGTGGTAGTATAGAGTTGTTTGTAGGACTCCATAGATCTTAATGGCAGCAGGTACCCCCCCCTTCAAGACCCTCCTTTACAGCTTATACTACTTTTTGAAACAATTCTTCACAATAATCATTTGTGCAAGGCTTTGTTCATCCCATCATAAGGCTTTTAGCTTTAGTTGTTATTTACATCGTATCATCAGCGGGATATCTGAATGTTCGCTTGTCCTGCCCACAACCAAAAAAGCAAATCCCACATCCCTGTGATGTCCTGGTTCTCAGTAGAATACGTTAGTAGTAGAAATCCGAGCTAAATTTGAATTCTGTCAGGTTATTGATACTATATAATATTATGTAGCTTTTCTTACAAATATAGAATTAGAACCTAAACTTATTCCTTCCTGATTAAGAAACTCATCTCTGTCTCTCAGCTGTTTAGTAGAATCAACTTAGAATTTTCTAGTAAGATTAACTACTCCTCTAACCTCCCATCTTTTCAGTCTGTTCACTGAAGTAGATATATCACCTGACTTGCTTTCTTATAAGGTAGGAAGGAGAAGCAAACATAGTTAATATATTGAAGTTATTATGAGGAAAGTAGAGATAGCTGCTGAACAGGAGAATAATGCGCTGTTAAAGGAGGAGAGGCAGAAATTCAATGAAACAATGGAGAATATGGACGAATACTAAGCCGTTGGAGTGATTTGCGTGCGGGAAGTCGCCAGTAGAGAACAAAATTGAATGAATGAAAGCCACATGAAAAAGGAATGTAATGATCCGGCGTATGAGAATAGTTCTATCAACTAGAATGAGGGCAATTGAGCAGTGGGGAGGGAAGATTCCCTGTCGAGCACGGGGACATGGTATTGAAATTCGCAAAGAAATTAACGCTAGTCAGCAATTGAAAGAGAAGTTAAAAGATACAAATCTGAAATGGATAAAATAAGCAAATAGCAAAAAGGCAAGTAGAAGAGCCCCCTCCGCACCGAGGCAGCTATGACACAGAAAATATCCACCTACCAACCAACCAACTAGTTCGGTAGCTATATACTAGGTGTTGGTGAAGTAGTGTGAATGATGGAAAGCAACAGGATAATTATTTATTTTTATTCCCTTTCTGCCCCCACTTCATCCGATTGTCTTTCATCCACCTTTCCACTCAAAAGCTTGCTTTCTTTTCGTTTCTTGGTTCTGTACCCTTCCACCTAGCTTTCCTCCATATCTCCCCCACCTGTATCCTAGCTAACACTAGCCATAATGATGCAGGGTAAAAGAAAACAAACTTTTGACCCAAACCAACCTCTAGTCGTTAGTCTATCTGTTAATAATGTAAATACCCGTACACAAAAGTATGGAAACAAAAGCAAAAGAATACCAAATAGCGACAGAGAAGTCAAGTCATCCCCCAAAGCATCGAAGCAGAAACTAGGTAGAACATAATCAGACATGGAAACGCCAGAGCTTAATGATGCTAACAAAGAAGTGATTTGTAGAGCAGATGAAAGAAAAGAGAAGTGGACATAAATCGTAAGGAAGCGGTTTTTGTCACCAAAGTAAGTAAAACAGCCAAGCGCTTCAAGAAAACGAACACCAAACATGAAAATGCAAAATCAGTGTATTCAAGTAGCTTGATGGATAATTTCCAAAAGGAAGCAATGTGAGACACTGACATCTACTCACGCATGTTTAGGTTGCGGAATGGTTTGGGTGGCGGGTTTTGTCGACTTCGGGATTGGTAGAGCAGTAGAAGTCTGGAGTGTCGCAGGAGTTGTTGGAGGTCTACTGCTATTGCCGGGATTTCCCTCACTTGGCCTTGCGATTGGGGAGAATCTAATTCTCGCGGGACGACTAAGATTAAGGCCAAAGCGATTACTAATTAGTTTTGGAGTAGCTGGGAATGGAGTTGTAGGTTGGAGGCTTCCGGTTGCAGGAGCCGTATTACCGACAGCCAATGTTGTAGACTGGGCTCGACTGATTGCACTGGAGGTAGAAGTTGCCGGAGTCACGGACGCCGAGGAGGAGGGGGGAACATACTGGGGGATAACAATTGGTCGGGCTGATTGCAAAACAATTGGGGAACCAGTAAATTGCATCTCCCTTGCTGCTGCTGCTATTTGTTCCCCCGCCGTTTGCTGGGTAGCAGCTTGGAATTGCTGCTGACGATAATTAGGATCTTTGCGCTGCATTTGATTCTGCTTTAGGATTTCGTCTGTCTCTCGAAGCTCCTGTTCGGTAAGGACATCGTCGGGATCGTGTTGGAAGCTCTCCGAGTACTGAATAGCGGTGATAAAGTCAACGCTATGGGGCAGTTAATTAGTACCTAGCTCGGTAACTTCGGTGCTGGGGATTTGTGAGTAGAATTACTTTTTCATGATTTTATCCAACACAGGGTCCTTTCCTCGATATTCGGTTAGGTCTTCTTTTGGAATATTCGCAGGCTCGAGGAGATACTGCCTAACGTCTTTGTGTGCCGTTCGAAGTGGATCTTGTTTGTCAACCACTCTGGACTGCAGCTGACTCTTGAAAAGAATCTTGTTCCTCTTGAGATCTTCAAAAGTTCCAACCGCATGAAACCTATAGACGAAAACATGCTTTTTCTGACCCATTCTGTAGGCTCTTCCGACAGCTTGCTCCTCCCACATCGGTGACCACTTGAAGTCGAAGATAATGATACGATTAGCGCCTGGCAGGTTCAGACCCAACCCGCCAGCCTCAGTAGAAACCAGAAACACATCACTCCTACCGGAATTGAAAGATTTGGTCGCCGATTGTCTTGTACTCATCCTTGTCTTTCCATCAAGCCTAAGGAAATCGATTTTCCAGTCCTCAAGCAATTTATCGAGGTAATTCAGGGTGTAGACACCATGAGAAAAAATTAAGATTTTGTCTCCGAGCCTGATCGAATGCTCAACAATGCTCTTTAATAATTGCATCTTGTATGAGTGGAATAAAGCTCGGGGGTTTTGGGTTTTGCTGGCCATTTCTTTGGCCCAAGCATACTTTTTGCTTGCACCCTCCAGCAGCTCTTCATTAGGAGAGAGGTCATCCAGGTCAATCAATTCCTGAAGCTCTTCGTCTTCTAGGGAGAAGATATCTTGCTTCGACTGTCTGTTCTTTCTAACGGCCGCTTGTGCTTTTTGGCCCCGTTCCTCAATAGTATCCACGAAGCACATAGGATGATTGCAAATCAGTGAGAGAAGGTGAACAATATCAAAGAACCTGGTTCCAGATTTAGCTTTACCATCGCTGCCCTCTATAGCACCCGTTACTTCTGGATCCGTGACAAATTTGGTGTACCTAAAGGCAATTAAAGATGTCAGCATCAAAAAACCTTGAGGGAAATAATTTGACTGCTTACATCTCAACCTGCCAAGGCGTCAGGGGCACCTTTACCAGAAATTCCGTTTTTTGAGGGAGATCTTTTTCGATCACCCTCACATCAGCTCTGTGCACCTTTGGGCCAATATCTTTCTTCAGAACAGTCAACATTTTCAAGCAATTCCGCCTCTGACTCAAAGTACTGTCTGCGTAAAGTCCATCCTCTATGGGATGTAAAAACTTGGCCTCGAACTCCTTACTAGGTCCTAAAAAGCCAGGATCAATCCAGTCGATCATTGTCCAATATTCCATCAGGTTATTGGAGAGCGGTGATCCTGTCATAGCTACTCGGGACTTGGAGCGGAAGAGGCGGGTGGCTTGACTGATTTGCGCCTTAGGGTTTTTGAGCGAATGAGCCTCGTCAGCAATGATGATGTTTGGGCTATTCAGAAGATAATCACTAATCTGTTTGTGCTGGTCTGCGGGGATATCGAGTGATAAGGGGTTTGAGCTCTTCCGAGGTCTGTTGTCAATAAGATTCCCTACTGGACAGTTAGCATGATTATTTAGATTCATAGCCTTTGAGATCTCCATACGGAATGAAGTATAGCCCATCAGTAATACCCCGCCCTCCTTGGCCCATTTAGTTATTGTGCTCAGCCTTGTAGTCAAAGAAACAATAGCGTCTGCTCGGTAGATCTGTCCAATTGCTGAAAGATCAAGCTGGTCGCGCTCATGTGGGCTTTGCGGCAACCACTTCTGGAACTCATCCCACCAATTCTCCACCAAGCCAGGCGGGCTAAGTATGAGGGTTTTTGATTCTCTTAAAGCCTCTGGTATTTGACCGAAAGTGGCCTCTTGTTTAGATGCTGCCGCAGTGGCTAGTGTGTAAAGAAAAGTGATCCTGCCAAACTGAGTTAATACTTAAATACCTAAGTATTGATTAGATGTCACTCACACCTGCAGAGTCTTCCCTAAACCCATAGTATGTGCCAGAAGTGCGCCTCTTCCTTCTCCGCTCTGAACTAGTTGTTGCCATAGAAACCGCACTCCATCGACTTGGTGAGGCTTAAGTGTTCCAGCAAAATCGGGATGGAAGTAGATGTCATTATATCTCTTGTACTTTCCTAAATTTATTGCAACCTTCTCGGGATCCGGAGCAATACTGGATCTCTTCTGACTCCTGATGCGATTCATTAGGTTCCTCTGGTTCTTAAGCGCACGTTCTCGAAGGGCCCTGGCATGAGGATCTTCTTCAACTGGCTTTCGAACCTTCGTTTTCTGGCTCGAAGTCGGTTGCGGTACTGGAGACTGGGTAGAACTGTTTCTGAATTAGTACGGGCAAAAAGCAACTAGATATTGCCTTATCTTTGCTGCATTTACCTAGAAGCTCCACTCGCACTGCCCCTACTACCAACAATATTTATCCTTCCGCCATTCCCCAACTGATCATAGTCGGATACGCCACCACCTCCAACGATAGGAACATCATCGACGTGAGTTAGTTTTCGCAAAATCGTGCGAAACTCTTTGAAGTGGGCTGCGGTTTCTGCCTTCTTAAACTCTTCCGGGCTGGGTTTGGGATGCTTCGATAACTCTTTACCTAGGAGCCAAGAGAGATACAATCTAGTGAGTATCCTATAAATTTCGGAATTGTATCTGTTGAAAGAAATTTAGCAGCCAAACAGAGGAAATTAGGGGCTAAACCAAATTCACCTATCAAGTCCAGTGTAATACTTGAGCTTCTCTACATGGATCTGTCTAGCCACAGATATAACGAGTCCAAAGATTTCTGTGCATACAAATTAATACGCTAAAAATATTTGGGAAAAGGGGGGCAAAGAAACACCTACTACCAATCTTGTTTTCCTCCATCCGGTAAAACAGGGCTGCTCGAGTTTGGGGTTCAATTTCCTTAATCAAACGTGTAAGAAGTGCGAGCGGAGTCTCTTCATCATCAGAAAGTTCTTGTATCTCGACCTCAACATTCTTCCGTTGGGTAGGCATCGTCGGGGCTCTGGATTGTTTCTTTGATCCAGGGGGAGGGTCTTCGACAGTGAGGTCAATAATGGGAATTGGGCCTTTTTCATTAGGAATTTGTTGAGAAAGCAAAGGTTCCTGTTTGACAGTAGGTGTTGGAGACCGAATCCCACCTTTGCATTTGTCTTTTGGCACGGGCGACAAGCTTGAGCCAGAGCCCGAGCGTGAAGTCACAGAATGCTTATCCCCTGGGCCATCGCGAACACCCTGAAGTTCTGCATCTGAAAATCCACTACGACCATGAGCAAGTATGGGTGCCTCGACTTCCTCATCGGGTTCGTCATCTTGAACAACACGTCTGCCTCTTTCCCGCCTTTTTCTGGCAGGTATGGGTGCCTCTCCCTCACTAGATGAGTCTACAAGTTCGTTTAGAGCCTCCAAACGCCCCTCTTCTTGTTGTCGAAGATGTTCGTTTACCTCGTCCTCACCCTCAACCTGTATGGCTCTACCGCCGGCGTAGTCTCTTACATCATCGCTAACGATAAATCCATCTAAATCTTCGTCTTCGCTCTCATAATCCGGCTCACCGTCGCCGCTGCCCAGACTCTCATCATCACTGTCATTTTCATCACCACCGCAGTCCTCTCCAACGTCATCTGATTTCTCGGCCAAACTTTTATTACCTTTCGGAGTAGTCTCTGGGGGCCTTTCCGGTGGTGTCTTGCGCTCCATGAGATTGATGAGCCAGAGACACAGCTCGCGCTCGTGAATAGATAAGGACATAATTTTGGTCTGTGCTTTGACAGTATCCTTACTCAACCAAATAAGACCGGCAATCTCTCGCATCTGAGTTTTAATCCTCTCATTGAGTTCTTCCAATCTCTGCTTATTTTCATGAGCAGTCTTCTTGCGCTCTTTCTTCCTTCTTGCACTTTGCCATATCCGGTACGACTGGGCTTCCTTCTTTGGCAGGACTCTTGCATGCCATTCTGCAACCCTCAATTTCATCCCTTCGTCGATCGCCTCTTGTATTTCTAGGGCGGAAAGAGGGAGTCTCTTCTTCGATTTGCTCAATTGTTTCCGTTGGGGCCCATTCTCAGCCTCGTATTCTTTCCAGTAAGAAATCGTAGCTTCATTCTCGGAGCCCGATTCGCCAAATACTGGCAATGTGTGGTCATCGTCTATGTTTTGCCATTTGGTCAAGTAGTCCCAATCATGAACGGAGTTATCAGTAGCATTAAGTAGCGGTTGAGGGCGATTCGGCTTGTCCATAAATTTGACAACTTGTTTATCTGTCGAGGAACCCGAGGTTGGAGTTTTGACACCGGGACTTCGCCATGGAAGACCTGATTTGGAAGCATCCTCTCTGGATATGCGACAAGAATCGTCCGGCTGGACATCGTAGATCGTACAGGACTGGGGGTGGTGCTTGCGCACAAAGGCATCCTTGTAAGGTTTAATTCCAACACGCAGATGGCTCGTGGGTGAGAGAACAGTCACGCGCTCCGCCCCATTTAAGAAGTGGTATATCTGACGGTTTACGACTTGTCGTAGCCCGGCGGGTTTGTCGGGGGAAACTATATATTTTAAATTAGTGAAACATGCTGGGGGAAAAAGGGGAAGTACTCACTGATAACGAAATTATCGTCATCTGAATCGCTCTGGCTAATCTCATCACCTACCCCGACATGGTAGAAAACTTGGTCCACCCCAACGGCCTTGGGCAAGAGGTAGTGTTGTTTCCGCCGAGTGGGTTGCCGAAGGGAGGGCAGTCGAAGCACCACAATTTTACTTGGGCGTTGATCATGCCCTCTAGAATCCATCTCACTATCTTCCTCGCTAGCAGTATCACTTAACTCTGTGGCGTCAAAGGGCGGAGCGGCAACCTTTTCACCTCTAGCTACCCCCGCTTCACCCAGTACAAGGTCATTATCGATCTCCATTCTGCTGCCAGACGGATCGTCGTCCGGATGCAGTGATTCTGGCTGAGCTGCAGTACGGAAAAGCACAGGATTAGCGCTGTCACCATTCTCCTCAATCCTGATGGTTGGGGTCAACGGTAAATCCCCATGATTACTATCCTCGAAGGCCTTGAAGGGATTGCGGAGAACAAGCGGGCTAGCAGCGGCAGAGCGTGAGATAAGGTTGAAAACCATTCTCGGGCCTCCGGGGAGCGGTGGGGTTTGTAGGGGACTTCTGGTAGCTTCTAATGCCTCCGAAACACGCGGCTTAACATTGGGGCTGTCAGAGGTAAAAGGCAACTTGCGCTTCCGCGAAACAAAGGGCGCAGAGTCCGGAAGCACAAGAGGCTTAATTAGAGTTTCAGAGCAATAGCGTGGAGTAGCATGCGGGCGGTTGTTATAGGATGAGGAGCAGTAGCCCGCTTCTCCATCGTCGTCGGGCAAGGGTGTGGCGGTGGCAATCTCTAGGATGTGCGCTGCGTACTTTGGGCTATTCCTTCGCAGACTATGAATCTTCCTCATAATCTTCTCTCGTTTTCCTAGAGGGATAATACCGATGTCCGTCTTCAAGCGGTCATAGTTGCAAATAGTTAAAAGCACCTGTCCATCAACTTCATTGTACCTCAAAGAACTGGCAATTTGCTCGTCATCCGTAGCGACCGCAGCGACAACGGTGTCGACGTCCCAATCGAAAGGATCCATCTCGCCCTGCGTACCAGCTATCCCATACCGGTGGCTGTTAGCAAAATAAAAAAAATAAAAACTAAGCCCAATTGTAAAAGCTGGGGAAATATTTACCTTAAGTTAAGAGCAAACAACCGAAAAACACCGCCGCCGGAAGCTAGCGAGAGGAAAGAAAAGAGAAAATTACTGACTAGAAAGCGCACCAGAAGTGCAAAGTAGTGGGGCGGGGGATAAGGTAGATTTTTTTGAGGGGGTAGGGTGTTGTGGTGGAGGAGCGGTGTGGGGAGGTGTTGGAGGAAAAAGGGTGGAGAGTTGAGATGTCGAAAATGGTTGAAGAAGCTAATCTTGGGTTTCGCGTCGAAAGTCTTGGCAACTGTTTAGCGGGGCCAGTGCTAAGCTTGTGCGAGTGATAACAGCCGTAAGATACTAACTCGGCCTAAGCGTGAATTTATCCTTGGCAGTTTGTTGGCAGGGGAATAATTTGGGAGAAATTCAGTAAGTTAAACTACCGGTACTGTACGGTACAATGCTAGCAGTTTGAATTATTTGAAAAATCAGCATGGGAGATGAAAGGAGGGAAAGAAGAATAAAGTGAAGTTTGTGCTCGAGTAACTCAGTGTGCAGGCTGAGAGGAGTAAAAAAAAAAAGGTTGCGCGAAGCCGTTTCTGGATGCTCTTTATAGTAGTGTAGCAGTGGTCGCGCGACTTGGGAGGGTTATCTGTCGGCAAGTGTTGTCCCTTCTGTAAACAACAGCATTTTGTCAGTTTCGGTAGGGTAGTTTCCAAACATTCCAACCCGTCAGGGTTTTAATACTAGCTCTTTACGGATATTTATATACGATATAAAATATATTCCTCCCGCCCAGATGGGGTTAAAGGTCAACTATTTATATTGCACAACCAGCAACGACATTATTGCTCATAGCTACAGTGGAATACATCTTCTAAAATCTAGTAAAGCCCTAGCCCCCCAGGTGTTGCTTGCTATGTACATAATCATATATAAAAAAAAAGGGAGAGGGAAAAAAAATTAATTTATGCATCTGATGTGTCTACTACTAGTATATGTCTAAATGTTAATTATTCAACTATCACCTCCTCCGCATCCTATGCATCTAGACTAGTGTATCACAATTACCTAAAATATTATACTATAATAATATTATAATGTAACTTAGATAAAATGAGAGAAGTATGCCTTGCAAAGAAGAGTTAGGTTTTACACACATGATCTATCTAGAGGCCATATGTGGGTATGAGTTATTTATAATTGGTTGGTTAAGAGTATGCCCTATAAGACTTACTTGGATTTCAAACATAAGACTATAAGAGTTCCTTAGACTTGGAGGTGTTATAAACCAAATTGTGACAAGGCAGGTTGAAGCGGTGGAATAAGGTTTTCACATGACTCATGGCTATGAGTCATAGGTGTCTATTGTTTGAATAACTTACATTTGTGAGTCATATAATATTATGAGTTTCATGCATATGATATACATAGAACATATGACTAGTTATGATGTTTATGATTAGTTTAAGTATGTTGTACAGTTGACTCATAGGAGTCAGCTGAGGGAATTCACATGACGCACACTTGTAAGTTATAGGATATGATAACACAGAGGTATGAGTCACAGTAGAATTAGAGTTGGATGAGGTGTTTTTATATAAGACAAGTCCAGTGACCTCCTGAGAATATGTGCTCTGTGCCTTCTATTTTCTTCCTTCTATATTCTACTTCTACACTCAATACTATTAGCATCTGGTGAAAGACTATCGCTCCTCATGATCCTCTTTGCCCTGTTTCTAAGAATCTTTTTTTCTTGCCTAGACAATAGACTCTACCACCTCATCTTGGACAAGTACCCCAGTTCAGCACCTGAGTATCTCCTTCTACCTCCCCTCTCATTCGTCTTCAGTAGCCCTGATTATTCCCATCCAGGCCTATCTAGCTTCTCTGATCCCTCCAACTAGGGTAATAATTAAATAGTTCCTAGAATACCTTTCCTCCCACTTCTCGGACGACCTAACCAACCTCTTTACTGGAGAATCCTACCTCCTCCCCCTGGTCTGCTCTCTAATCAACAGCCTATCATTACAAGCCGGCAATGTCAATGAGTTTGCCATACTACTTCAAAATCTCTCTTCTCAAATAGCTAACACACTTCTTTCTACTACTGGCCCGAGAAATACCATCAACATACTGGGGAGCTCTATGGTCTCTGTCCAACTGTTAATCAGGGACCTAGCCAGTAGGATCTCAGCTCCCCCCATCCTGCCAGCTCATCCTCCTGTGTTGACCCCAATTGCCCTACTCCTACGACCTTCCTAAAAGAGCAAAGAGACTGCCACCAATGTCCATACTCCAACACCCACCAGGGTGCTATCCTCTGAGTACCTGGCCAAATAGGACCCAGATATTTTCATATACAATTGTAATAATCCCTCTTGGGGTAGTTAGTTCTTGGTGATGGGGAATGATACTTCTCTGCTCTCCTTCTTCTTTCTTTAGTCTTACGATAGCACTTGGCCTCTGCCTACGTTACTGATAGTACAAGACCGCTGTCTTCTATCGGGAACGCCTATCGTAAGCTTTCTCTAACTCTTTTTCGTGAAGAGCTTTCCTTGGTATAACAATAAAGGTTGCAATAATAATAAAGATCGTAAAGGTGTTTTATATTCGTTAAAGTAATAAGTAGGAAAAGTACTTAAAACAAAGCATGAAGAACTTATCCTCCTTGGCCATACTGTCTTGCTTATACAGTGTTCTTCCCGCCTGTAGTCATATGACCCAAAGTGGTCACATGCACAAAACCAAATCATAACAAACTAGTCATATGACCAAAGTGGTCACATGCTCAAAACTCATGACCTTATAGTAAGGTCATGTGCGAAAACTCATAAACCAATCATAACATAATAAACAAGGCATATGACTTGAATGAATCACATGCATAAAACCCATGACCTCACAACGAGGTCATGTGCTAAATATAAATCATATGTGCAAGGCATACCCGCAAGGTACACTTGCAAGGCATACTCACCAGGTACACGTCTCATGACTCATATTTAAGTCATGTGCGAA